CTACGGTTCCTCTCCATGGCTGGTTTTCTTTGTTACCTTCTGGGAGGAGCTTCACAGTATCTGAAGCAGAACAACTAGATTCTGTAATACTGTATATATACATATATACATATATGTATATATGTATGTATTTTCTTTTGAGAGCAAGTATCAGAATTACATTTTTTAATGTGTGCCAGTGTATTCACACTGTGTTCAAAGAAAAAAGTGACAATAAAAATTATCTTATCTTAAAAAAAGAAAACACATACAATTCTATCTTAAAGTTCTTTTTTTAAAACCAGTGTTAAAATTAAGACTCTCTTTTCAGTAAATAACATTTGTAGAAGCAGATTTTCGGAGATTGTATTACTATTCCTTTTTTAATTCATTAAAGTAAACTTTTGTTTTGGCATTCATGATGAATAATGAACTTGCAGTGATGATGTTATTTAGTTTGGGTAATGAAGTATCTGCAAGAAAACAACCAAGCTCAAAGAGCACCAAGGACCCCTTGTTAATGAACTTCTCTTCTTTAAAAACTATGTACTTGGGTACTTTGTAAGAGACTAAGCCTCACCACATAGCAATTCCTACGTCTGCTGCATATTCCATGAAGCAAATGCAGATTATTAGCTATTTGCTGCTTTTGTGGGGATTTTTGATCAGGATATGCAAGATAATATTTGAACAGAAGCTATCTTGTTTCTCATTTTAAGTTGATTATGCTTAGATGAATAGGATCACACACTGAAGGCACATTGTCTTTATCTGTTCCTGTTCAAAATTATCTGAAATTATATAAAAATATGAAAATAATTAGATTTTGTGTGGATACTTTCAGCCATAGATGCTGTCTATGAAATTTTTATTTAGACATATACTGCAGAGTGAATATGAAACATTAATCTTCCTATGGCTAGTTGCCATGGGAACATGGTACACAGTGCAATTCATTCCAGTTCTGGTGATTTCTGCAGTAGTAGCTTTTCGACGATTTTCTTTCTTAAGCAATATTCGCATGGCTTAATCTTTGCAAAATAATCTCTAATGGCTTACATATTTTACCTATGTGCTGGTTTATCCCTTATTATTTTAATTTAATTTTAAAGTATTTCATAATTGCTACATTTTGTACTTAATCCTGTAGAATTGAAATGTATTTTATTAGGCCAAAGTTCATCTGTGTCCCAAATAAATAAGATATTCTCATTCCTTACTACGAAAATAATTATTTGTTGCTGCAGAATGGTAGCTCACATTAATTTTTAGAATTCCAGGAAAAAAGACTTCCTCTTTCCCTATTTCTGTAAGGAAGTACATCAGACAAGAAGCTGGGAAACAGGGAAGTTTCTTCTGCTTTTTTTCTGGAAAACAAATATAAGTGGGGGGGGGAATTAAATATATCAAGTCAATTTTCAAACCATTTATTAATTTTATTTAATGTTATTGCGATGTGTACTGTGCATTCAGTGCAAACTGCAATGTATGTAATTTATTCACACCATTAGAATGCTTCGTATCTTGTTAAAATATTAAATATGATTTTAGTCATTACCAATTACATTAACTGAATTTCCTTTTAGTTATTTTCAAAGCTTTATTTTGGCGTTCCTTTATGTTTCCAAATTTTTGAGTCAAAAGTAGATGTGCTGTCTTCTATATAAACAGTCAAAAGCAGATAAGCTTCTCCCCCCATACCCCAGAATTAGGTATTGAGTCTTTTGTCCTTTGGTGTATGTGACTGAAATGATCTTGGTTTTTCAGTAGACAGTGGTACTGCATTGCACGTCCTCCTCTGTATCAGAATGATTGTGGCCTAATATTCTAGAAAAAAGCCTTCCTATTACAAGTTGCCCAGGGTTTATCCAGATATCTTTTATTCAAAATAAAAGAGCATTTTAAAGTTCAAGAATTCATTGAAAAGGACAAAATGTAAAGAATAACAAATAAAAATCAGAACTATTCAACTCCCATTTGTCCTATTTTGTTCCAACAAGAAGGCACTGTTACACATAACTGCAAAGAACTTGAGATTGATAAAACATGGTCAGGGACTGCCTGTATATTTTGAATGAATTGATTGGTTGATTGATTGATTGACTGATTGTTTGACTGTGCCACCAAATCAGTGTTGACTCTGACCACAATAGATAAACTTTCTTTATGACTCTGTACCTAATATTGTTCTTAAGGTCTTCCAATTATTCACATATCACAACTGCAACGGAGTAATCCATCTGTCTGCTGATCGACTTCTTTTCTTCCTCCTTTCCCATCATTATAGACTTTTCTAGAGTCCTAGAAATTTGTATAATTTCGTAATTCATCTCCATTGCCGTGAATTTTTACTAACGTTTCATCACTGCAGTATCCCAACCATATTGGTATTTGTTTATTCGCGAGTACTATTTTCACTCCAAAATTAATACTTGGAGAATAGAGAAGAAATGTTTTATTAGTAAATGTTAATGTTAAAAGTAAAGGTGTGATGTCAAGGTCAGCATTAAGGTGAGGTGTGCAAGAAATTGCTTTTGATATTAATCTATGTAGATGTTGTTGTTATAATATAGTTTGAAAAACAAAGACCGCAGGTAGTTTCATTAGCTAACTGGTTTATAAGGTTAAGAACTCATGAACAAATGAATGTTTGGACTGGCCAATTTAATGGACAAGTTCTGTCTTCTGTAAACCAGTTTGATCAGTGAAGTTGCAGAGTGTATTTATTTCCAAAGGACTTTTCTGAGGGAAGCAATTGCTAAAATTAGGGAGATGGTATTACAGATGCTCAGCAGTTACCTCAAAAAGGGTATAATCCAGAAGAGCTACATTATACAGCAAGTATGGAGTATATACAAGAACAAATATTTTGGACAACGCTTTAAATGTCAAGCTAAACGAGCAGTTGTCAGAACTATGTGATGGCTGAGTTGCACTGCAAGCCAAGCTTTTGTCCAGATAAGAAAACACTTATTTGTGAAAATACTTGAATATAAATATTCAAAGAGCACTTCAGGTTCTTTTTTTATAGTATCAAGTAGTTTTATATTTTGTGGTGGCATTTATATTAATTATTGGTATATTGGTCAAAATATCTTTAAACAGCATTAAAAAAGATAGAAAGTAAAAAAATGAAATAAAATGGTACATATAGGAAATAAGAAGTATGTGAGATATGTCTAAGATATATTCATTTATCTTAGTCTTATGCATGTTTCTTAGCAACAGGCAGTAAAAATATGAATTAAGAACTAAAAAGTAATTCAAAAAATGAACTGTGTGTTAATATGTCCGTAACTAGCACGTTAAAAGTAGAGGTATGATATTAAAAAACTTTCCAAAAAAGAAACCAAAATTTTCTTGTTATTTTGCATCCTATTATCCATGAGATGGAGGAGTTGATTTTTATATACTCTGGCTTCCATAATCCAGAAGGAGTTTGGTAGCATCTTTTAAGACTAGCTTTGTTATTTAAGAGGTGGAGGTTCATTCTTTCAGCTTGTGGGTTGGTTTCCAAGCGTTTTGTTACCCGGCTAGGTAACATTTTCAGTGGAGTTTAGGGGATGTCAGTATTATTCTGTTTATAAGGGCTTCAGGTGGTCAGTAGGTCTTGTGATGGTGAGGTCACGTCAGGTGAGGGTCCCATCAGGTCAGGGTCATGTGATGGGTCAGGTGTGTCAAATGAGGATCTTGTGATGGGTCAGGTGTTGGTCACCAGCGATACTAGTGTTATTTAAGGCATAAACTTTGGGGAACTATAGCTGTAGCTGGATAAGACCATATTATATGAGTTAAAGAGTTTTCACGTTTCTTATAGCACCAGCACAAAAATAAATCTAAAGTGCAGTCTTTTAAAAATAAACATGAATATTTTCTGATGAATTATTTTCTTATTTAAATCATAAGAAGAATATTTAGATGAGCCGAGGTGGTGCAGTGGTTAGAATGCAGTAGTTCAGCTACTTCTATTGATAGCTGGCTTCCAGCAGTTTGGCAGTTCGATTCTCACTGGCTCAAGGTTGACTCAGCCTTCCATCTTTCCGAGGTCAGTAAAACGAGTCCCAGATTGTTGGGGGCAATCGGCTGATTCTGTAAAGCACTGTGAAGTGGTATATAAGTCTGCTATTGTATTGCTATTTTATCATTTTAACCCTTTGACTCATTGATCTCCAAAACCACATCTTCCAATTCTACATGCTAAAATTTAGTTATATAACTAATTCTAACTTTCATTTATTTTTTAAAATTTCTTATAAAACTGGATTTGTTTCAGTTCAAACAATGCTCTGCTAAAACATTCAGGCCAAACTGTTTAGTACCTGTTGAGTTGTCACACAGCTAAATGAATGTTATAGTTAAATCATTTTAAATAGCAATCTCTCAAAGTCTGTACAACAGTCAATTAGCTTGTTTAAAGTATTCATCCCTTATTTTACCGAAACATTTCAACCCAATAGATATTTTCCACTATTTTCAAATATGGCTTGTTCATATTGGTTTAGCATATGATTTGGGATTAAAACATAATTGCCTTCATATTAAAGGCTGGAGATGAAAATTCTTTTCTAATGTTTCTGAACTGCAAAACCTACTAAGATAAGTATTATTTACTTAAACTCTAAGAGGAATTCCCATATAAAGTCTTGTCCTAGAAAAAAACACACATGTTAAAATAAAAGCCCAGTGATACAATTGAAATTTGGTAGGTTAAATCATCATAAAAAAGTCTCAGCTTGGCCAAAGATATTTGAGGGACTTTAGTTTGCCACTGAAAAAAAATCCTCATTAATTTATCTATCCATGTAGAATATTTAATAGGGCGTAACACAAGAATCCTTCTTAAAGTATATATTAATCTTGCCCTAGAGATTTAGTAGATGTTTAGCAATCCATTTATGTCTACTGAAATTGCCTGTATATATTTAAATATATTTAACATATTATGATTTACTTCAAGAATAACATAAACCTGAATCTATCCATGCAGTATTAGTAATCATAATCCCTTTTTTTGTCTATAGATACAGTGGATCCCAAAGGCAGCCATTTAGACTTATTCTAGTTAGTGGAATAGTAAGAATATAAATCATATTATGTAACATCAATAAGCTGTAGTAATGACATTACATTCAAGGATAGTCATCTCATCAGCATACAAGACACAGGAGGACAAACCCTTCAGGACAAGATTTGGCAGTCCATCTGCATTTAAAAGAAAAAGGCCACTCTTGAAGAAAAGCAAAGTCCACATTTTGGACAGAGAGGACCACTGGTTTGAAAGAAGGGTCAAACAAGCCATCTATGTCAAAACTGAACAGCCCTCTCTCAATAGAGAGGAAGGGATACAGCATCATCTATCTCCAGTCCAAGAAGGCTCCACACCCATTTGTACCACTCAAGGTGACCTTGAGGACACAGATAAACGTCCAAGTGGCCTCAGCAACTCTCTAAAAGAATGCTAATGACCAGCTGTTTGCAAGGCATATAAATCCTTCCATTCCCCACCATCCAGTCAGAGCTGAAGAAGCTTCTTGGATGAGAAGTAAAACGTCTTCAAAGAAAAATAAGAAAGTCCAATTGCCTCTTGAAAAAGCACCTTTGAGACAACCATAACCTGGATGACTGAGAATCTCCATAGATGTATAAGAACAATTTACATTCAGTATTAAATACCACCACATTCTTAAAATCTTGGTATTATCTAAAAGATGAAGCCAATGGTTAAAAAAACAAATTGAAAATTGAAGGAGATAAGAGCATTCTTGACAAGTACCATGATAACTTTTAGGTTGAAAGACATATAGTTTTGTGATAACCAAATTGAAATCCAGCTTAAAAAGATGGTAGAAACCTATATTTTGTCTGTGGAAATTCCCAATCATCCAGGTCATGGTTATCCCAAAGGTGCTTTTCAAATGTCATCTGGACTTCCTTGGTTTTTTCCTTGAAAACGCTTCACTTCTCATCCATGAAGCTTCAGTTCTCATCCCAAAAGGTTCTTCAGTTCAGTATTGAAGAAGCTTCTTGGATCAGAAGCAAAACATTTTCAAGGAAAAAAACCAAGAAAGTTCAATTGCCTTTTGAAAAGCGCCTTTGGAAAACCAATATCTTCTTAAAATGCAATTCATGAATTCAATATGAACTATATCAAAAACCTTTTCATCATCTAAAACAACAGTGTACTCATCAATGACTCTATATCAGTTTGGAGAGCACTACCAAGTTGAATGTTACAGGGCTGCATCCTGGGCCCTCTGATGTTCCTCATTTTTATTAATTGATTAATTTAACTTCCTGGATGATTTTATGCTGTGCTTTAGAGTATTTTGGTGACACAATCACATTTGAAAAGATTCACTATTGACTTAAACCTTCTTCATTAAAACAAAACATTCTGCATTCCCTGAACTTTAGTAATTTATTTATAACCATGCCACATCAAAAAATTAGGTGGTTTACAACATCCCTTATACAGTTTAAAACAATTGAAAACACATGATAGAAAGAACAACAGCCGACATAAAATCAACCACAATAGTCCCACCTCCCCACCTTGAAATGATTTTGTAACTTTTACCACTTTTACTAAGACAGTATGTGAAAAACTTTTAAATTGGAGGTTATGTTGGTTAATAACAAGAATGTTACTGTTTACAAATAATTGGCAAAGTATATGTCAACGCTGCAAATATTGTATATTCTTGCTTTTGACAATATGCAGAATTGTCTGGTAAATATGGGGTTAATAAAGAGCAGAAGGGGCGTTGGGGGTAAAGCCGGGGAAAGAAAGAGGAAGAAAACATTTGACCTTCACACTAATTGGATAGTGTGAGATATGACAGCTAATTTAGGGAGGGAACATGCTGATAATTTAACTGCTCAGAGGAAGAGAACTTAGATCCTAGCATCCCTCCGTTGTGCCTGTGCCGACATTTTGTAACATTAACAGACTTTCAGGAAAATAAATGCCTGGAAGTTCTTTGGAATGTTTCATTAGCCGGAACCACATCATCATAAGTAAGATTGAATGTGGAGCTCACTTCCATTTGTGCATTTTAATATATTTAATATCCCATAAATATGTATGTAGTGGAGAAATCTTTGAAATTTCAGTCTGTTCTACCTTTAATTTTTCTGTCATTTCATAATCATAGACCTATGAGGGCAGAAGCAATACTTTTCTTCCTTTTAGAAAAGGCTGAATTCATTTTGCTATGCACAGCAATTTGAAAGTTCACACAGCAAGAAATATTTAATAACTGTCTATTACCAATTGGGGATATTACTTACATGAGTATTCTTAGAACTTTTCGAAAATTGCTATCCTACAACACTGTCTGCATCTGGGAATAACAATTCCCACTGCTCACTAGAAACCATTACCTATGAAAAAATTATCCTAGTTAACTATGATATTGTTGCTGAGTAACAGATATGAAAGTGTTAGATACAAAATATTGGTAGTTGTTTTGATGTTCTGAAAATTGTAAGAAACCATTCTTTCGTGAAATTGACTAGTAAAAATTATTGTGTATAGGTTACTTTTTAAAAGCATGACTATATAGTGTTTCATAATAATATCTGTAGTGAGTACATATAAAAATAAAATGCAAACATATGCAATCGATCCTGAATAAAATGCAGCCATTTAAACATTTCAGTTCAGTGTAGAAACAGCAATCTAAATTATTGATCTCCTTATCCCAAAGATGCCTTTTTATGAGGCAACTGGATTTTCTTGGTTTTTTTTTCCCCTTTTTCCTTTGTATGCATTGCACACCCATTGGATGACTTGGATGACTGAGAATCTTCATAGACACTGATCTCCTTAGTTTTCCCTTTCTCAACCAAAGCAGTATTTTATTATTGCTGAGAAATAGAATGATATGAAAAATAACTTAAATACATTTTGAATGTTTTAAAAATGTAATCTAAAAAAAACCATCAATAGAATCTGACATAGCATTGCTTTCTCTTGGCCAGGGGTTCTCAACCTTGGCAACTTTAAGACTTGTGGACTTCAACTCCCAGAATTCCTTAGCCAGCTTTGCTGGCTGAGGAATTCTGGGAGTTGAAGTCCACAAGTGTTAAAGTTGCCAAGGTTGAGAACCCCTGCTCTAGGCTCAAGCAAACAGTTACAAAGAAAAGTGGTTTAAGGGTAGAAAAGGCCTAGGTCATGAGTCTTTCCTCCTGAAAGTTGTTGGAAAGACATCTGATTGTTTTACCATTGTATGCATTGCACACCCATTTGCTTTTCAAGCAACCATTTGAAAACAAGTAAGGGCAATTTCACTAAGTGCGGATATCCTAATGGATAATTCTTTGGGGTAAGCCAGTGTTTCTTAATCTTAGTTACTTTAAGATGTGTAGACTTCAGCTCCCAGAATTCGCCAATCACAAGGAATTTTACAAGTTGGTCCACACATCTTAAAGTTGCTAAGGTTGAGAAATACTGAGGTAGGTTAAGTTTGATAGTACTAGTTAAGTATCCACATTAGTATTGAACTTTGAAAATGTTGGGCATTCTTACAACAATTTGTGTATAAAACTATTAATGGCAATCATGATGCCTGTTATACATCTATACATGAAGATGCATTTTGTTAGCAACAGGATATGGTGGCAGCTACAACGAAAGACATCTTCTCAGTCTTGTCCTGGCAATAGTTACCAATATGCCTTGCCTACTGCAGTTAGTATTAACAAGGAGAATTGGATAATGCCTAAACAGGACTATGGGCTCCTCATTTCTAATACAAACTTGCTTTATTTTAGCCCTTATTTCGGGATGCTTTTCATACTTCTATCCCCCTTCAGTGTTCCAGGGATTGAAATCATTAAGTGAAATTAATCTGAGTCAAGAGTCTGTGCTGAAAATAAACACAACAGCTTTGCAGTACATATACATAGTATGTATATCTGTGGAGATAATCATCCAGGTCATGATTATCTCAAAGGTGCTTTTCCAAAAGGCAACTAGACTTTTGGTAGCTAATGGTGGTGTGTGTGTGTCCTTGAAAATATTCCACCATCCAGTAAGAAACTGCTTCTACAGTTCTTACTGGATGGTGGGGAGTAAGCTTCTTGGATGAGAAGTGAAACATTTTCAAGGAAAAAACAAACAAAGTCCAATTGCTTTTTGGAAAAGCATCTTTGGTACAGCTTTGCAAGTTATTTCAAGTATCAAAATATCACTGTTAGTTCATTTTCTGGTGGCGATGTTGCTAGGTATATGAATGAAACCAGCAAGAAAACCCAACTGAACAAATACCTCACATTTTTATTTCAAAAAATATAGTCTCCTTGTTGATAATATTGATTGACTGTCTGCTTCTATTGTTGTATCTTATTTACATTGTTCATTCAGAAATGGAATTTGGCTTTGATCCTGAGGTTTAAAATGTTTTCAATCATGGATGAAAATAAAATTGCAAAAATAAACATTTAAATAATGGAATAATAAAATGTAGACCAAAAGGTTATGTTTCCATTTAGTCACATACAATATAGTTAGTTTGGGTTATAATATACCTTTTTAAAAATGCTGATGTGCATCAGGCATTTGCTTTCATTCTGTGGAAATATTGTTAGGGAAGAGATAGCAGTCAGTGTCAAATTCAAAAGTGAAGCATTTTTTTTTTTTTAGTATTTGTGATACTCAGAATGAGAGCATCTTATTTTATTTTATTATATTCTTTATTGAACATTGTATTTTATCTTCCTTTGTATAAAGGGAAAGCTATTTAGAGAACTATCCGCAAATTAAAATTTATTGTTTTCAGTAGATGATACAAACTGGCTACTATTTTGTATATATGAATAAAACACACTTGTTCATAAACTCCAGCAATGTACTTCTGCCTCTCTTGACTGATTATTTCTTAGGCTGTATCTCCTCTCTTTCCCCAAGGTCATCCATACATTACATTACAAGTCAAAATTTAGTAAATTTTAGAATATGATATTTCAGGAAATTGGTTTAATTGCTAATTAAAACATAGAGGAATCATTTATGCCTTTTACTATTCTGAATAGAGAACCTGTGACCCACTGGGTCATCGTTTCAGAGATATTTCCTTGCCTAAACAGAGAAACAGAATGACCAAGGCCAAAAAAGCAGTGGGAGAAGGAGCAACTTCCAACTTCTGACTGCCTGCTGGCTTGACTGCAAAAGACTGTCCTTCGGCAGCTAACGGTGGGGACCAATCTACCCAGCTCCCCGAGGGCTGGGGTGGGACCAGTTTACCTGATCTCCAGTGGTCAGAGAAGGGGCTAGCTTACCCAGCCTTT